GATGCAAGGCTTGCAGACTATTTTGATGTGATTGCAGGAACAAGCACAGGTGGTCTTGTAACCGCCATGTTAACTGCTCCAAATGATCGTCAGCGTCCTTTATTTGCTGCCAAGGATATCAGGCCCTTTTACTTGGATCACCTTCCAAAGATTTTCCCACAACGCAGGTATATTAATTTCTATGTTCTTATCTATATATCGAACTAAAGAAGTTTACTAAAAACCAGACAAACATAGAGAAGCTAGCTAGCAAAAGTTCACATAATATATAATTGTTATATATCAAGTTTATATTTACGAGCTTTAGTTGTACGAATTGAGCACAGTGGCATATGGGGATGGATAGAAAGGATGGTGAGATCATTAGGAGGACCAAAATACGATGGAAAATACCTTCGAGAAGTGGTGAGAGAGAAGCTAGGGAAGACACGTTTGCATGAAACGCTGACCAATATTGTGATTCCCACCTTCGACATCAAGTCACTGCAGCCAATCATTTTCTCCTCGTACCAAATCAAGATGTCTCCTTATTTGGATGCTCCACTATCGGACATATGCATCAGCACTTCTGCCGCACCAACTTATCTTCCAGCCCACAGCTTCAAGAACAAAGGTTCAGAAGGGAACGTGCACGAATTCAACCTTATTGATGGTGGCGTTTGTGCTAATAATCCGGTACTTACAAAATAACTTAACTTTCTTTACTTGTAAAAATATTCTTCCGAAATTTAGTATCAACAATAATGATTGTGACTTGGTGATCCAGAGCTTAGTAGCCATGAACCAGTTAACCAAGCAGATCATTAATGACAATCCTGACTTCTTCTCCATCAAGCCAATGGAATATGGTCGTTTCCTGATAATCTCTCTGGGCACCGGGACTCCCAAGAATGAACACAAATTCAATGCTAAAATAGCAGCAAAATGGGGTCTACTCGATTGGTTAACTAACAGTGGTTCATCTCCCTTGATCGATGTTTTAACTCACTCCAGTGGAGATATGGTTGATTTCCATCTTGCTACTGTCACCCGGGCTCTTAATTCAGAAAAAAATTACCTTCGTATACAGGTACATTCTTGTGTATGCTTTATTACAAGAGATTAATTTTCATATACCTGCAAATATTCAACTCAAAGCTGAAAGATTATTTTCGTTTTGGAAAATTCGTCAACATGCAGGATGATACATTGACTGGTACAGATGCTTCAACTGATATTGCCACGAAAAAAAATATGGAAAAACTTAGCCAAATTGGTGAGAGGTTGTTGAAGAAACCAGTATCTCAGATCAATTTGGAGACTGGTCTGTTTGAACCGTTGGGAGATGGGGAGACCAACGAAGATGCTCTCAGAAGGTAACATCAAATGAAAATTACTTATATTATGATTAATGTGTCATTCAGTTCACAGGAACAGTCTGAAAATATATCCCAGCAATATTAATGCTAGCTATATCATCCATTTCGTTTGTCAGACTATGCATAGTTTTTAGTGAGTAAAACTAATATTGGAGCTAAATTTTGCAGGTTAGCGAAAATGCTTTCAGAAGAGAGAAGTTTCCGAGAATTGAAATCCCCTCTCACTAACAAGTCCCTACAATAGTTAGGCATTAGTTGTTCACATGTACTCGAGTTTTCTTTCCTAAAGTTTAGTTTGACATTCTTCTAAATAATAATTCAGTGCGGCTCATCCATGTATCTTAATTGTTAATTTGAAAGTTCTTCTTTTTTCTTTGTATTCTTGTTTGTGTTGGATTCTATTTTTATAAAGTTACAGTTACATAGATATGGGTATACCAGATAATAAGGTATAAAATAAATCGTTGGTTCTCTATCCAATAACACCCTCCATGTAAAATGGAGAGGAGTTGGAATATGCCACGAAATGCCAGAGTTTTTTTCTTTCTCATCGTCTAGCATTGGATTTTGCAGTATGTTATAAGCTAAACTTACATAATACAAACCATTACCTTCCTTTGACCTCTCAATATATATTTTCTATCAATTTTCTTTTCAAAAAACTTTCTTAGAAAATACTTATAAATTTTGTTATAAATAATGATTTACAAGAAAGAAATTGTTACTATTTTTTTTTCAAAATATTCTACATAAATATTTTTTATAAAAAATTTACAGCAAATATTTCTAAAATTTATAATTTTATAGAAAATAATTATGCGTAAAGAAATTATCTGCCAATTGAAATTTTTAGAAAAAAATAAATAAAAAAAAGATCTTACAAAATTTTATAATAAACTTTACATGAAAAATCCTATAAAATATGAAAAATTATTAGTTCTAATTCACTTTTTTAAAATTCTACAGCATTAGTATCCAACTTAAGTACAGTTTCATTAAAGAAAAAAAAATTAGGAAGCTGAATTAAACTTAAAACACAGCGAATTGTTCATATATATATATATATATAAAACCTATCCCAGCAATATTAATGCTAGCTATATCATCCATTTCGTTTGTCAGACTATGCATAGTTTTTAGTGAGTAAAACTAATATTGGAGCTAAATTTTGCAGGTTAGCGAAAATGCTTTCAGAAGAGAGAAGTTTCCGAGAATTGAAATCCCCTCTCACTAACAAGTCCCTACAATAGTTAGGCATTAGTTGTTCACATGTACTCGAGTTTTCTTTCCTAAAGTTTAGTTTGACATTCTTCTAAATAATAATTTAGTGCTCATCCATGTATCTTAATTGTTAATTTGAAAGTTCTTCTTTTTCTTTGTATTCTTGTTTGTGTTGGATTCTATTTTTATAAAGTTACAGTTACATAGATATGGGTATACCAGATAATAGGGTATAAAATATATCGTTGGTTCTCTATCCAATAACACCCTCCATGTAAAATGGAGAGGAGTTGGAATATGCCACGAAATGCCAGAGTTTTTTTCTTTCTCATCGTCTAGCATTGGATTTTGCAGTATGTTATAAGCTAAACTTACATAATATACAAACCATTACCTTCCTTTGACCACATTTATTCTCTCAATATATATTTTCTATCAATTTTCTTTTCAAAAAACTTTCTTAGAAAATACTTATAAATTTTGTTATAAATAATGATTTAAAAGAAAGAAATTGTTACTATTTTTTTTTTCAAAATATTCTACATAAATATTTTTTATAAAAAATTTACAGCAAATATTTATAAAATTTATAATTTTATAGAAAATAATTATGCGTAAAGAAATTATCTGCCAATTGAAATTTTTAGAAAAAAATAAATAAAAAAAAGATCTTACAAAATTTTATAATAAACTTACATGAAAAATCCTATAAAATATGAAAAATTATTAGTTCTAATTCACTTTTTTAAAATTCTACAGCATTAGTATCCAACTTAAGTACGTTTCATTAAAGAAAAAAAAATTAGGAAGCTGAATTAAACTTAAAACACAGCGAATTGTTCATATATATATATATATATAAACCAAGCATATACTCAACTCTCCAGATAATGATATCATTATCTAGAAGCGAAGGCAGCAATCAGGGTTATTATAATAACAATATGGAGTCATCAACTTCAAATTTGATTTTGCACACCAATAAGTCTATGACTTTCTTTTGATCTTGATAAGGTACAAGAGTGTATGTGTCATTGTTCATTATAGCTTGAACTCAATTTGTGCCAAAAATCTGGATAGTGTGGCTCTTCATAAATTAAAAGCTGATAAGGTACTCTATTTTCAAGGAGCAGCGTATAAATGAATACTGTAAAATGTTGGAGCAATTTTAGCTTAAGCAAACAATGTTCAAAGGCTCTTTGACACGTGAAAAGATTTTTGGAAGGTAATTTTTGAGATTTTCCAAACTCACTTTACTACACAACCTTGATGTCGCAAATCTTTAACACTTGATAAAAAAAACCTTGCTATTTGGATGGCCC